ATCTTTCCATAAGATAATATGTAACTGCCATAGTAACATTCAACTCAACCACTCAAACTTTATCCATTCACAGTATCCAGTTACTAGTTGTTAGTAGGGCTAGAAGAAAAGGTGCTAGAGCCAAGGTACAGTCTGCCCTCACTGCGTTATTTCAGTTAGACAGCTATACAGTGAGACTAAAGCTCACATCTTAAAATCACTAAGCAACATGTATAGGGTGGACAGTATAGTAATAATAGATCAACTATGGTAGATGTTGGATATTTAAGTTCTTGTTTAATCTGTGGCCTATTGTTTTCTGCAGTTTTTGTTTGTTTGATTTTAAACAAGTTTAGCTTTAAAGACATTTCTTAGTTAAAAGGTTCTAAACAAACTGAGCATACCCTTGTATAGTAATAAAATACTTCCTGTCAATGAGTGTGTGACTTTTTATCTTACACTTTTATTTGTAGCTAAACTCTACAGGACGTGTCTGAGAGTAAGTTCAGTCAACAAAGTAAGCAGGGCTATGAGCGCCTCTCTTCTTCAAGCTGCTGTTTTTGCCCTATTTTGAGGAACATCATTGTTCTTTCAGGTCAGTGTAGGTGGTTTATGTGTATATGTATATGAAATGTTTCATGTTTGGTCTGATTGTCGTTTAATCTTGATTGTATACAGGGGGTTTTCTGTATCAGCCATTAACCACTGCGTACTCCTTCATCAGTGTTGATCTGTGATCCCTTGTATCCTCTACCTCTACAAGAAGACTAATTGTATTCCAAGCTAGTGTGACAGACTGATGTCTTTATGTGGTTATGATCAATAATGCAGTTTTCTGATGAATGTGTGGTTTTTCTTTTATGATTTTTATTGCAAATGGGTTAAATGCTTTCAAATATAGATGGTGGAAGATCCCCCATCAGATTCTGTGACTCTAGCAAGTGTTGCAGTTTTCTACAGGGCTGCTTTACAGCTGAATTGAACTACTTTCATAGCTGATGATCTTTACACGGTCATTACTGAACTGAATCAACACTGAACTGACCTCAGCTGAACAATGACACTACTGGTTTTTTATCTGCTTTACAGCAGAATTGAACCCTATTGCATCTTTGAATCATCGTTTATCACTATAAAGCTGCTTTGAATACATCTGAATTGTATAAAGCACTATATAAATAAAAGTAAAGGTGAGATGTCACATATTTTATTTAATTTGATAGAAAAACATTATACACTTCTCAAAAAATGAAGGGAACACAATCATCACAGTCAGTTAAACCTCAGGGATATCAGTCTGTCCAGTTAGGAAGCACAAGTGATTGTGAATCAGTTTCACCTGCTTTACTGCAAATGAATGTGACAACAGGAGCACCAGCAACAGCAAGTCAAAACCCCAAACAAGGACTGGTTTTGCAGGTGGTGGCCACAGACGGTTGCTCTCTACTTATCTTTCCTGATGTGTCTGTAGTTTTGGGTTTTGTTAGGGTCCTTGTCATTACTTGAAGTGTGAAGCAGTATCTGCAACCCAAGAAGCATTTTGGTGTCATTTTAAATCTAGATTAAAGACTCATCTCTACCCCAGACGACCCCACACCTGTGAAGAGATGATGCTGACCCCTGCGAGGACCCCAGATGAATCCACATGCACAGATGCCAAAATTCCTCTATATTGTAATCATTATGATCACACTTGCAATATGAATCGTAATGAAAAATCGTACTTCCGGGTTCGTACAAGTTTCTGAGTTTTTTTTTATCTTAGCTCTTCATGATGTAGATGAGGGTGGAACTCCTTATATGGGCATTTCTCCTGGAAGAACGCACACATCGACCAGAGCAAAAGCGAGATCGCACTCATCAACGCGCTTCATCCGGCGGCAGCGCTGCACGGGACTTGCTCGGGAAGAATGTCTCCAAAGAAGTGTGTTTTTGGCTGTAAGGGAAAGTTCAGCTTACCAAAGAACCCAGCTTTACGTGAACAGTGGATGCAGTTTGTTTTTCCGGGGCAGCAACAGAGTTTTGCTAGTGTGTTTGTTGACGAACGTTTTATAAACAAGGCCCAGTTCGACGCTGGATTTGCACATCGTTTGATACTGAAAGATGGAGCAGTCCCAACTATAAAAGATCCCGGTCATGATTCAGAACTGCAGACGGTAAGTGAAACAGCATCAAATGTCTGTTTTGTTGGCATTTGGTGCCCAAGTGCTGGTCACTCTTTAGCTCCGCCCACGACACGCCTCCAGGAGCTCGGCTTTTTCCGGAGAGAATCATAAAGCTGTATCTTTCTTTTATAAATATGATAAAACGAAAGACTTTTTGGGGATATGAAGTATGCAGTACTACTCTATAGGTACTCAAGATTAACATGAGATTGGGTGAAACTGTGTATGTTATGCCCCCTTTAACAATGTTATTGAATAGAATATAGGCTATTAAAACCGTTATTGCACGACATAGGCCTATTCTTATAGGCTACACAGACAAAACAGTCGCAGATGCGTTTATGCATTTTTTTTCTATTTTACACATTAGTAGTAAATCAAGACTTCGCAAGTTCTCTTGTAAAATAAAATAATAATAATAAAAAAACATGTAATAAACTGTCTACAGAAAGCAAGTAAAGAACTCTCAACATTAGGCTACTAAAAAGGTCAGTTTAATCTCGCAAAAAAACCCGTTAATAAAAAATCTGACTACACTGCACAGTTAATCTCTTACACTGCATCTTTGTTGTTTATGATGAATTCGGTGCTTTTATTATTATTGCAGCTTAGATGTTCAAACAGCTGCAGTACTCCGACTTTGCCACAAGGAGAAGTGCGTACGGCTGCTCAGACCCTGACGTGGCGGAAAGTACTTTTCCACGTCAAAGACCGTTTTTATAAATATGAACGTTGTCGTGGATTTTAGCGTACACACACTCTAAGATCAAATCTGTGCGTACGCACGTTTTATAAATGAGGCCCACAGTCTTTACTGGTAAATTACCGTTAAGAGATCATGTGTGAACAGGACCTTTTAAAAAACCCGATAAATTCATTCTGGTAATCATATCGTTCTTATGGAGATGAGGTGATTACTCGGCTGTTTACAAAGCTCCGCTGCTTTTTTAATAGCTTTTCTATGTAAATATGACGCTAGATGGAAATCTTTGACCACTGCGCCTCGCAGCTTTTTCAATGTGTCGCGCTCGAGACCGAGGCTTCTTTTACATTCATCAGCTGCGACTGCAATTTCACTTTCAATAAAACATTTGCAGTGGGTTTGTAAAATGTTTTTGTAAATTGTTTTATGCTTGTTTTGGCCTGAGACACTTGGTGTTGGTATACATATTTTAAAAATTAATAAAAAATGTAAATAAAATAGTTTTCTGCAAATTCTTGTTCTACATCTCCCCAAGTACCACTGTGGTGATTGTCATGTCACGTTACTGTATTTTTACTTTACCTGGGGAGATATAGAACAATAATCTGGTGGAGTTTGCAGAAAACAATTCGATTTTACCTTTTTATGAATTTTTAAAATGTCTATATAGCAACGTAAAGAGCACTGGTCATGATTTTGGTAAGCAATTATTAAAAAAATGATACAGTAAAGTAACATGACAATCACCACAGTGGTACTTGGGGAGGTGAAGAACAAGAATGTGCAGAAAACAATTAAAGGGGTCATATGATGCGAGTTCAATTTGTCCTTTCTCTTTGGAGTGTTACAAGCTCTTGGTGCATAAAGAAGATCTGTAAAGTTGCAAAGACTAAAGTCTCAAATCCAAAGAGATATTCTTTATAAAAGTTAAGAGTCAGCCACACCTACCTAAAACGGCTCGTTCTAACACGCCCCCACATGTCTACGTCACGATGTGGGAAGATTTGCATAACGCCGCCCAAATGTTCACGCAAAGAAAGAAGGCGTAACTTTTATTCTCGCTGTAGTATTGTTGATGCTGCCGCCATGTCGTGAAGACGCTGTGTGCTTCGTTGTGAAAGCGAAACTACTTTGTTTGGTCTTCCAAAAGAGGACACGACTAGAAATGCGATGCAACGCAACACGTAAAAAGACAGTATAAGTCATTATAATCAGTAATTATGTCCCCACTGGATGCAACAAATGCCTCGTTTGTAATGGGTTTTAATGTTTTTGTCTCGTCGCTCCGGCTGGACACGGCATCACAGTATGGTGAGGGGCGTAACTCACGCTTGAGGTATTCGGCCAATCACAACGCACTGGATAGCTGGCCAATCAGAGCACACCTCGCTTTTCAGACTGATGCGCTTTGTAAAAATCGACTTGTTTCAGAAAGGCGGGGCATAGAGGAGAAACAATAATGTACAGTATGTGGAAAATAATGTGTTCTTTTAACCTTAAACCGCATAAACGCATTTCATTACACCAAATACACAAAATAATGCTCTTTTTAGCAACATCATATGACCCCTTTAACAAGTGTTTTTCAATGTAGGATGACTATTTTACTTTATTAATAGTAATTTTTTAAAAGGCAATAATGGTGCTTAATAAACCCTTGGTTCCACGTTTCATATAAACAGCCAGCAGGCAATGAAGAATGTATGAAACACCAAACTCAAGTCGCTTATTTATTCACTTTAAAAGCAACAAGTGGCTTGAGCTCACAATCTGTATTATGTGAACATTGCAAATGTGATGTCCATCAACAAGTACACGGCCCCACGGTTTCACATCAGGTTCTTCTATTGAACACCTGTCATGCAGAAACTGCTTGCCTTTAGTCTCACTAACACCTCTGAATCATCACTGATTTAATAAAGCAGCACGGTTCCAGTGAAGGCAGATCCTTCAGCTGTGGGCTAACAGCTCTTGCAGTATCCACTTCCCATTACGCCCTCATTAGTGAAGTCTGTTAAACTTAATGAAGATCATTTCAGAACAATGTTGAACACCAGCATGACCCACACACAGCACTGACCCTTTCTTCAACACATCAAGAGCCATGTGATCTGAAGTTTGCATTAGAGGAAATTTATCAGGAGTACAAGCGAAAAGGTTCAATTTAATTTTATTTTCATATCAATGGAAAAATATAACCTCATACAAATGTCTGATTTCGGTCCATTCTTTTTTTTTTTTTTTTTAAGTTTGGTGAATGACTCCAATTAAGTGCCGCAAGAAAAAAAAACAAAACACCAAAGCACATCAATGCAAATCAGATTGTGACATCGTTGACATGTTTATTTCGCGTCTTCTACGTGTCAACACATTAAGCTCAAGTCCATTGGTATCCGCATGGATTTGGCACTCATTTCCCTGCAAAACAAATGAAGGAGAATAAAGGAGGAAGTGGAAGTGTCTAACTCCTGCACCGCTTGAACATGGACTGCTCTGCTAGAACCTGCACCTCCAGTGGCAAGTCTTTCCAGGGCAGGCCAAAGCACCATCCATGCTAGCATACTAATAACACAACCATTTAGTTGTAATTCTATTTTTTTTTTTTTTTTAAAAGGAGGGGGAAAAAAATATAGCGCAGCAATTGACTTTGAGAAAGCAGGATGAGTGCGTCGCCAGATCACCCGAGTGCTGCCCATCCCTGACCACCTGCCGCTCTGCTGTTTACACAAGTGCATCTCACTGAATTTGCAAACAAGATATTTATCATGTTTATTTATTATTGGTTGAAATAGAAAGGGGACGTGGAGCCAGCGACCCCCTCCGTTCATTCACACACTCACACTCCAGTCACGCCATTACAAACTCCAGCAGCATCACTTCCTTCTCCTTTTTGTTTGTGTCTTCTGACAAATGTGTTGCGTAATAGGGAACATCTGCAGTCGCAACACCTTACACGTGCCCAACGATGTATTCCTTTCTTGAGCTAAACGCAGACAGGCTGGCAAACCTGTACCGGTCTAATATGATGCACTAGCTTTTCAAAGGGAGAATGTGGATGGTGTGGAATAGTTTATTAGTGGGGTCAGAGACACATGAGAAGAGGGCTTGATGAGGGGAAGGTGGTGGCCGCTGAGTTGTTCTGCTGCTGGAGTTGAACTCTGAAGGTGGTGCGATGTCTCTCTCTCACTCTTTCTCACTCATTCTCAGACACTCATCTCAGCGCACACGTCACTTCTGCTTTGACGTCTATGTGTAAAAGACAGAAGAAACCTCAGTGGGTTTGATTTCCATTATTCTTGGTAGAAGCTCCACGGCCGGTAATCTGGAAACAAACCAAGAGAAAACCATGGAGACGGTTAATGAACAGCAGTTAATTTGTCGGTTCAGATCAAGGCGAACATTCAGAACACCTCTCATTATTCGCCAATTGAATCTCTCTTCTGTCACAGCACTTATAAAACTGGCCGAGCAATAAGAGTCATGCTTTGGGGCGAGACATGCCCTCTGCGTGGTCTGGTGAGATGGAAGTGCGGTCACATACCAGGCTTGGCTCTTCAGCTTGCGGAGCTCCTTCGTGGCCCACGTGGCTAAGGTCTTGGTCTTGTTAGTCTTGGACCTCCGGCCTTCAGACAGCAGATCGTTGATCTGAGGTCGAACCTCCACCAGCTTCATCACATCTTTGCCAAAGGTTGTACACAGGTCACTTTAGGGGGAGGAAGAAAAGAAAGAAAAAGTGTCAACAATTATGTGCCAGAGCAATGAACAAGCTGTCATTTAAAAAAGCATGAAGCCACAAATGAGAAGTGCAGTGTAGTCACTCATGTCCTTCTGAACCCAATGACTCTTGTCCACGCGAGAGCAGGAAACACATGACTTCAGTGTTCATGAAGCCAGACGTTCTTACCCGATGAGGCCGACAGCATTGGCAACAACTCCATCGGATCGGTCTTCATCCTCAGCAATGTGGTGAATGAAAGACAAGATAAACTCAACACGAGGCTGTACCAGCATTACATCGGCTGCACAAGGGAAACACAGGGTTTTAACAGGAATCCATCTTCAGATCACAGTTATGAGATCGATGTGAAGCTGAACTTACGGTGCACGTTCTCCTGGTCTCCTTTCAAGCCCTGGATGATCCCGGTGTACGCTTCCAGACAGCCCTCTCGCAGCTCGTTCAGATAGTCCACCATATCATAGTCCGTCTGCAAGACAGCAGTCAGTCTGGCTTAACTTTCAGCAGTTTCAAAAGGAAGAAAGAAATAGGCTGTGGATCAATAAATAGGCTGTGGAACTTCAGTGTCACAAAAACAACACCTCTGTAGCTATCACAGTGCCGTCCACAAACTCCTAAATGCTCAAACACATCCCGGTAACCAGCTCCAGTGGATCAGCAAACGTCCTCTGAAGAGAACCCATGCACGCTCTGACATGTAGGTGGTGCGTAAGACAAAAAAACACATTCAAATCTGAACTTCTTCTGGCCAACTGCTTTACACATTCATACGAGAGGGTCCGGTTTTGACAAACGAAGCACACTGTGAAGCTCACGCAAGAACTGACATGTAAAAACATGGGAGAAAATCCAAGTATCATGTCCAATCATGTCTACTTGTATGCATCTGTAACGAACAGACGTGATGCAAGCTTTGAGCACAGCACACACAATGAATCACACATCTTGGCCTGCAGGGAACCAGGGTGGTGATATACCAGTAGCCTAGAGGTGTTCTCGGGCCCTGGAATCTGTACCCGACCCGAGGGCATTTCTTTTCTAACCCGACTGGACCTGAACGTAAACGGCATTGACGTGTGCACAGCCTGCGGTCAGTACAGAAACATCCCGGTGTCCTGCTGACTGATTTAGCCGCTTCCCCAGTACTTTAATTTATTTAACATTTCATTCATTATTACTTTATATTATTGCCTGCCTGATGGATACAAGTTATTTCTGAGTTCGGCTTTCAGTTGTGACCAGGGGACTGGAAAAATAAACATGATAGTTTGATCAAAATTAAATCGATAGCCTAATAAATCATGTTGTCTGCTCTGCAATGCTATCTCCCTCATCTCCAGTGAAGGGATTCTGCACACAAAAGAAGAGCCCTGCATGAACATGAGCGTAATGAAGCCAGAGGATTCTCCTGATCTCATATCTATCAGATGATTTCTGTGCGCGAGGTTACAAACGGATGCTCCTTTTCTATGTGTTTCTCAAAAATGCACTTAACACCAATGAGAGTTCTGTCAACACTGCACTGGCTCCCTATTGAACAGCGAATACATGTCTGTACAGGTGCAGTCAGAGAGACTTCTCCACAGACTGAACTGGCTTGATCTACTGTATGCTGCAGTTTATGACAGGTGCTTGCAGTCTGCAGGGAAGAGGGCTGTGCTGCTCACCTTGTCCACCTGTGCCTGCGAGGCCTGCTGCAGAGTGTCCAGCACAATGTCCAGGTACTTCTTGAATTCACCACCAATGGCAAGAGCAATATCCCCAAACACAGACAGGATCTGAGGTTTCACAGACCGGTGCACATTCTCGTTCTGCAAAGACATGCATTCAAAACATGATTAAAAAGAAAAGATGTGCATACAGTTACACTGCTGCATTTACAGAGGGAGAACGAGGCAAAAGCAGACTGATCACCTACAGGGCTTCAGAAAAATAAACAACCTACATAAAAATAACTGCCCTCATTCATTTTCTTTTTGCATGAAACAGTTGATTCTGTATATGATTAACCTGTGCATATATTATTTTAATATGCCACAGTATACAATACTATACACAAATGCAATTAAAAGAGCAAACGTACCTATTGTGTTGTTTTAAGTTCAATGTGTTCATTGTAAATGCACTATTCTTATTTATCTGTGTTGTATTGCCATGTTCTTTTAACCCCTGATAACAGTGCAATCTGACCCCGTTTTAACTCCTCCAACTCACCTGACTCCAGACTGAAGTATTAAAATATTTTAGGATCATTTCTAGTTTATTTTATTTTTGAAGCAATGCACAACAGTTTCAGTTTATTTAGTTTTTTGGTAAATCCGACCCTTGTCATAACTCAACCGATTAGGCTGATCGTTACAAACTAATGGCCAGGACAGCTTGTAAATAAAGCCATTTAAACAAGCAGCGCACGCACACACAGCAGACGCTGATGTCATTACTTACACCCAGGTTCTCCAGCAGCAGCTGCATGATTTCATCACAGTGAGGAAGGATGTTGGCCATCAGCGCTCGGCACAGATCACACACCAGCCCCACCGCAGCCAGACACACCTGCACACACACACAGTGTTTCTCATTCCTCAGTTCTTTCAGCTGTCGAAAGCACAACTACAACTGCTCACGCAAATTGAATACACCCTACCATAACCATAATTCACTACTGGGTAATTACACATTATATTAATTACACATGAATCAGATTATTGTAATGTAGATATACAGATTGTTTGGGTTATGCAGTTAGTCCACAGACAAGCACAAGTGTCACTAGCCTCTCAGAGGAAGCACATCTCTTCTTTTTAGATAAGTTTATGAGCTGTAGAGTCCCGCAATGTGCAGCGTGGCCACAGGAGACCGTCGGGTCGGCACACACCGCGTGAAGTAGACTCTGATTCTCTGTGATGATATAAAATCCTGAGCTGCCTGAGCTCAGAGCAGCAGGAGGAACAATCATCAACAAACACCAGCTTTAGCCCCAGCATTACCTGGTACTCCGCAAAATTCTTCAGGCCGATAATCAGGAAAGGCTTGAAGGCTTCCATGTACTTCAAGAAATCACTGCCCAAAACTGGATGGGGAAAAAAGAGGGGCAAAAGTTGATTTAATTCATTCAGTAGACATTCACTGCTGTAAAAAACAGTCCAGACATTGAAAGATGCTTGATTTTGAATGACTCCACGTGAGAGTTACTGTAATTCTGAGCGTATCTATTGTGTTGGTACAAGGAAGATATACTTGAATCCATAGTTTTAGGAAGCACTTCCTTATAACACAAGCATGTTAGGTGAGAGGGCAGCAAGCAGGTGATCTGATCATAAAACATTCCCATCTGGAGTTAATGCACCCACTTGAGATCACATCAAAACACTTTTAGCAGTCGGTTTCTCTCTCTTCTCTCTCTCTCTCGCTCTATATACACACACACACACACACACACACACAAACTTTTCTTCATTGATGATACTTTTATGATAATAGTTTACTAATATAATATAATACAATACAATATATAATGCATAATATTATAAAAATGATTTCATCATGAAGTCATAGCCATAAAACGTACATATTTTACAGGCTTCTGGAAATGGGAGAGGGTTACTTTAGGACATGAATCTGGTCTTGGATTTATACTGTAGTGCCATTGACAATGCTGGTAATAAGATGAGCTTTGGTGTGTTCAGACGAGACGCAGCTACACTGAAAAAAACTGAACTTCAGACACACTGCACGTTGATTTCAGACATGAAGTTCTGTTACGTCTTCTACATTCATATGCGCTCTCGTCCAACAGCCATAATGCAGCTTCATACCAAGTGTAAGTGGCTAGTTTTGTGGACGTGAAGCCCCTCACCTTCCACCAGCGTGCTGACGGCCATGAGAGCGTCCTCCTGAACGCCCCCCGAGCCGGCGGTGCTCTGAAACATGCGCAGCAGAGACGCCATCACCACATCTGAGATCTGCAGCGCGTCCTGATGCTGCACCTTCCTCAGCACGTTCTGGGGAGGGACACGACACAGATGAGAGAGCGCTCACACACACACTCGACTCAGGGCCAGAAGAGCTGCGAGGGGCCTGACCTGTAGGGTGGCACACAGCAGGGACTGCAGGTCGTTGAACTGGATCCTGTCTGACGTGCTCTGGATGTGAGACTGGACAAGAGACAGACGATTTCAATTACAGCCAACAACACAAGTGCCGTCCTGATGCATGACTCCATGTGTTCAAGAGCCTGAACGAATGGGCTGGGTCATCAACACGGATTTCTCCAGTTTAATCTAATCTCATTTTGATACTGATTCTTGAATTCAAAAATGGATCTTTTAAGTCTATGCCATTTTGAGCCGACACGGGAATAACTTCACTAAACGTTATTAGATATGTTGCAATAAGCTTTGTGACTTATTTTCATATGAATCAATGACTGCTTTCAAAATAGTGTATTTTAAGAACTTCAAACAACAAATGTGGCTTTGACGCTCATCTATGCAGCACCAGAACGCTGTAGCGCCTAAGCAGCTGGTGCATCGATCAGTCGCTGAACTGCGTGTCATCACACAGTGCCCTTGTGAAGCAGTGAGCGTCATCTGTTCACCTCCATCTGCAGGACCCTCTGCAGTCGCTCCATGATGACCAGCGTGGTCTTCTGCACCGCGGGGTAGCAGTCCTTGGCGCTGTTCTTCACGATCTCCATCAGAGCCTCATACGCTGCACTCCGCAGGTTATTCTGATGCCCGTCTGGCCTGACAGTGAAGAGGAGACAGTCACTGAGAGCATCAGAATCAGCTCACGTCTGCACATTCAGCTGCCTGGGTTTATGGCTGCGTGTCAAACCCGACTAAAACACAGTGGCGGCTCGTTCCTTTCTAATCTTCAGATTTTGATTATATTATCTCAATTCCAACACCAATTGGCCCAGTTTTCCACATGCTATTATAATGTATTCAGTCCTGCGCTGAGGGGAGAGTCTCAACAAAATCTACACACAAACATCAAGTACTTAGACGTGCTGCAATGGAGCTAAAAGAAAACGTACAATGTGGTGTCTGACGTGTATGACTTGACCTGCATTAGTGTTGTCAAAAGACCCGGTATTTCGGTACCAAGTCGGTACTAAAAAAATGAAAACGTTACGGTACCAGGTTTT